GTGAAGTAGTGACGGGACTCCCGCCACCTAGACACTTGCTTGGTGCATCGCTCAGCTCAGTGTTGAGCCTCTGGTGAGCCCCTAACTGGCCCAGCTCACGTCTGAGCTCAGAAGCAAAGGAAGCCCATGGCAAAGGCTGCTTCGGACGTAGTCCTGGTCAACAGAGAAGAGGGGGGAGATCAGAATGTCTCGAGGAAGCCTCTGTGGAATTCCAGAGTTCACTGTATCTAGGAAGGAAAGGATGAGGGGACCACACACGCAGACTTCTAAAGAGCACACTCCAAAAATTCAGAGAGAAGAACTGTAAGCTGTGATTCTCAAGACAATACAGTTAGGTTTTCAAATTGAAGTCCTGAGAATAAAGTCACAAATTATCCTGAGTGTAAAAAAAAAAAAGAGGGCAGCATCTAAAAATAAAAGTGGCTGCACAGGGAGCTCTCTGATGCACACAGATTTTAGACGTTTTCATGTCCTCGAAAAACTACTGACATACTTTTAAAGTATATGAATTTGAATACAGTAGAGCAGGCTGGTTAAGACAGAGCCCTTGGAATCAGATAGCGCGTGAGTCCTGACTCTGCCATCTACTGGCTGTGTGACCTTGGATAAGTCTTTTAGCCTTTCTGAGCTCCGATATCAATCTAGAAAATGGGGATAATCGTATCCACTTTATAAGGTAACTGTGAGTGAAACCAGGTTGTGCGTGTGAAACCCCTCCGAGAGTGGCTAGCATGTGGGAAATGCTCAGTGTTAACTGACCATTGTCACCATTCCACAGAGCACAGGGAGGTGCTCCCAATCCACCGGCGCTGCCCTGGAGAGCGCGGATGGGTTAGACTCGTACTGGGAAGGTCAGAGATGGGCTCACCCGACACCTGTGAAACCCATGAGGTGCACGCGAGGCTTCCCTTGGTGCAGTCATCAAGAAGGAAGGAAGATGTCATGCCTGCAACAGCCACTGCCTTGTCAACGCTGACAGAGGGCGGGCAGGACAGGGACTCTGCCCCTCACTGCTGTACTCCCTCGGAATGCCGTGCTTGAGTGACGAACACAACTGAGATGGACTTGAGGGACAGTCAGGACCACTCCCCACCACCCGGAGGGAGTCCCAGTCTGCTGCGAGGTGGGGCGCTGACTGAACTCGCTAACGAGGTGGTGGAGCCTGGATCTCCGGGAATCACCCGGAAAGGCAGAGGGGTCAGGAGCCTGCCAAAGAGGAGATGTGGCATTGGTTTGCACGAAGAGGGGGAAAGACAGATGTATAAAATACCGGGGCTCCCAGGGTCCATCCCCGGCAGAGTTCTAGAAGTGGTGATGAAACCGTGACGGTCACTGCAGTGGCCTCCTAACCTGCCCCTCGGCTTCTGCCCTCAGCACCCACACCCCCTGCTCGGTTCTCAGTCTAGCAACCAGAGGGAGACCCTAAATCAAATCATGTCACGTCTGCTCAGGACCCTCCAGCAGCTCCCCTCGTGCTGGAAGGAAAAGCCCCAGGCCTTCCAGTGGCCTCCAAGGCCCGCCACGGCCCCGGCTACTTCTCTGCCCTCGGGTGTCATGGTTACTCCCGTCCCCCTCTCGCGCTCCCGCGCGCCAGCCTCCTTGCTCTTGGCCTTCGCCCTTGCTGTTCTCTGCTTGGATCACTCTGTCCCTCCCCCACAATACCTGCTTGGTTCCCTCCCCCACGTCTTTGCTCAGATGTCGGCTTCTCCATGGGCCCCACACTCCCGCTCACCCTCTTTCCTGACTGGCTTTTTCTCACAGTGCTCACTCCCATCCAACACACCACACATTCTTACTCACTGGTCCTGCTCACCAGCTGTCTCCCCTCACTAAAACGCAACGTTTATGGATTCAGGGATTTTTATCTGCAACCCCAGTTCCTAGAACTGTGCCAACCACATAGTCATGTTCATTAAATACGTGTTGACTGGGAGGGAAGGAGGAGAAAGGGAAGAAGGAAGATGCTGGAGACACATTAAGAAGTCTCTAGGTCTCTAGGCTAGGGTGCCCAACCATTCCAGTGTGCCCAGGACAGAGAGCTCCCTCAGTGCTAAGGCCAGGACAGCTCTAATTGGTCACCCTACACTAGATCCGCCAACCTCATGTACGTCTGTGATGCGGAGACTAGACTGATTGCTCCTAGGAATGCCACGGACTCACTCTCTCCTGTTTCGGCACAGCTTCCCAGAGCCCGCCTCGCGGGAGAATGAGAAATGTGGGCAGCCAGATTGTACATTCAAGTGATTTGGAGTTGGCCGAGTGGCCACACCAGACATGTTGGTGCTGGTCCTGTGTCAGGCTGCCGGGAAGGCTGCTGTGGTGAGCCAGAGTGTGTCCTGGCCCCGGTTTGCCCCACAGTCCGTCTGAACCGTGGGTGAGGACGTGGAGGTCAGTGTAGAATCCTGCAGGGGCTCACACTAGGGAGGGAAAGTAATACGCTCAGCACTGGGCTGGGTTTTGGAATCATCTCGATAGATGAAAATGACAAGCCCTCTGTAACAACTTAAAATTTAAACAGAAATAAATATTGCTTTCTATTTAGGGTTAAAAAAGCAATCTCATACGTACAGAAGAGACCAGACTTAATAGCTGTTTTGTTTTAAACCCAGCATGTTCAGTTTCCCACACACTCAGCTAGTGTGAAAGCTAAGACTTCAAATGCCACTTAGGCTGTGTTAATAGATGGAAGGGGCTGGTCCCACTGTCCTCCCGCCCCGAGGGAGCCACCTGCACCGCGAGCCCAGCTCTGTCCTGGGGGAGGCCGCTCACTCTCATTTGCTTGCTTTCTAGCTATTCTAGGACATGGAAACCCACGAAGTGCCTGTCCTCCCTTCTCCCCAGCCAGCTGTGTCCCGGCAGTGTCATCTCTCTGGGGGAGAAAGGAGGCCCCTCGCTCCCTCCCTCTCCCCAGCTCACTGACTTCTCTGTGGTGGCTGACACGTTCAGGATGTGGGGATTCAGTTGAGAGACGGGTTAAATTCCCCTTCCCCCCAGAAGAAGGCATTCGTTCCTGAGGACCCCAGCCTGGTAGCAGCCGCCCAGCGAGCCTCTCACCGGGGGCCAGATGGCACCCTATCCCTAGCGGCTTGTGGCTGCCACCACTCCCTCAGCTTCCTGCCTGTAACCAAGGAGTCTGAGGGAAAGGAGGGTAGCACAGAGGTGTCCCACCTTCCAGCCTCAGGCATGTCACAAGCATTTGAGCCAGCCAAGGCCCTGAGCCCTGGAGCCGTGCCAGCGCCCACTCTTCAGGTTACTGGTGCCTAGGGGAGGCAGGGGCAGCTGAGGAGGTGCAGGGTGGGGGGAGTGGGGGAGGTGGTGGCCGCAGGGCTCTGAGGCCTTCACAGGGCTCTGGGCTCTTACTGAAGGGAACGGCTCCTTGAATCTCTGTGCCATGCAGGCCGTCAGGAGAGGCAGCGACTGCTCATCCTCTAGAAGAAAAGAGAGGCAACGATTTCTGACTCCCGTTTTCCATGATCAGCACGGGCTCTGCCCCACCTCTTCCCCACAGGGCTCCTGCATCACAGAGGACGGGTCCAACCCTCACGGATGGAAACAGGCTAGATCCCACAGGCCAGCCCCAGTCAGCTGGCGGGCTGCCCAGGATGTGGCGGTGATGATCCCACAGCTCACAGGAAAGAGCACTGAGGCGCTAGGAGCATCACCACAGGTGCAGGAAGGAAGGGAGAGCGTCCTGCCTCGGCTTCCCAGCTTCTCCCTAAAGAACACACACTCAGCCATGGGAAAGAGCACGTGTGAACGGAGCCTGCTGACCTCAGCGTGGCGGGCGGCCCCCAGGGTGGGGAGAGCTGAGGGGCCATCCTCCAGCCCCTTCCCTAACTCTGTCCTGGGCCATACCTGTACCGCCATCTGCCGAGAAGCCGGGGCCTGGAGCAGAAGGCGGGAAACACTCGGCACTGCAAGCTGAGCTCCGTGGTTCTCAAAGTGTGGTCCCCAGAACAGCAGCATCAGCTTCCCTTGAAAACTCATCAGAAATGCAGGTTCACAGTTTCCGCCCAGACCTAGACCGGCTTTGTCTGTGTTAGCAAGCCCTCGGGGGATTCTGACATGGGAACCCTGCTCTCGCTGCGCTCACGCTCATGGTGAGGAGCGGTACCCCTGCCTTGGGGTGAGTGTTCTCCTTCTAGTTTCCGTGGGGCTGATGGTCTCACTTCCGCCTGTGTACACATCTGCAGCCTCCACAGCGGCTTAGAGCTGGCTTCCAATGCAAGCCTGCCCAGTGCATCTGCAGCTCCGGGCTCCTCCGGCTCCTGTGCGCACACTCCAGTCTCAGGAGACTCACGGCTTTCCCAGCCCAGCTCAGAAACAAGGGCTGCGGCCCACCGGCCTCTGCCTTGGAGCTGCCCCCTTGACCGCACACGAGAGTCCCTTCCCCTTGGCTCTCTTATCTTTCCAACGACGATCCTCTTCCATTTGGTCCTAAGAAGTCAATCTGGTTTTTCAAAAAGAAATACTGCAAAAGAAACCAGGCTCACTGCAAATTATACTAAAGTGAACCAGGAAGATAAACGCAACAATCTCCTTGTCTCACAGCTCTCCCCTCCCCTGTCCTCTGTCACCCCACTGCCCCATCTGCCCGGTGAGCCAAAGTGCTTGCTGTCTCGATGATTTACAGTTCTCGGCATGACTCTGCCTCTCGGGTCTGTTCAATTAGAAACAGGCTGGGACTTGCGTCCCATGCACCAGCATGTTAACTGCTTATCAGAGAAAGAGAAGGGGCCACGATGTTTGGTGATGGAAATTTCCACTCTCTCCATCTCTGGGTTTTCTCCATTGTCCTCTCCCACCCCCCTCCTTGCCTCCTATGCTTCCTACCTCTCTTGTCAGTCTCTCCAGGGAGCAGGCCCAGAGGCACCTGGCAGGCCAGAGTCCAAACCTAAAAAGAACTGTGGCCCCCCCCCCCCCACCTCCTCCTCCACCCCCTGGCTCCCTCTGTCGCCTCTGGGCTTTGAAGAGATTCCAGAGCAGAAAGCACTTCAGTTATACGCAGTACTCAAAGGCTTATTTTCCTTTTGTTTCCTTTCCCCCCTTATCATTGTTGTTCTTATTTATTTTTATTTTTTACAAAACAGGAGAAAAGAGTGAACTGGATTGGGGGGAGGTGACACATTTCTCCACAAAGGTACAAAATTGCCTGCAGAAAGCCAAGCTCAGAGTGCCGACCACCGGGCTGCCTTCGCAGGCGCGTCTCCCCAGATGTCCTTCAGATCCGGCTGGGGATCCACTCTGGGAGCCGTCCCACGAGGTGGGGAGGGGAGGCCTCCTTCAGCCCTTGCCCAGGCGGGGAAAGAGCAAGCAGCTGAGACTGTACAAAGAAAGAGGAGAGGAGGGCGCATCCTGGGGGCCAAGGGCCGGGGACACGGGCAGGGGACAGCCAGGCGGAGCCCAGGAGCCTCTGGGCACGTAGACCACCGGGGAGGCGGAAGGCTCAAGGCAGAGTCCTTCCTCACCCTTGGAGGGGCTCCTCAGGATGCAGGAGCACCCCTTGAGGCCACGAAGCCCCATCTGTCTTGGTCCAGCTGCCAGGCCTCAAGCACATGGGTCCATGTCACTCTCCTGGCAGGGCATCTGGCTCAGACTGCTTCCCTTTAGGTAAAAAGTAGTCCTAGTTATTTCTCTACTGCTGAGAACAGGCTGAGCTTCAGGAATTTTGCAATAATGGTGGTGACAGGGTCTCCCCTTCGGAGGACCGGGACAGCCTCCTCCCTGGATTCCAGGGTAGGACAAGAGGTGCAGACACCACCCGGACTGAGGGGGCACTCCAGCCCCAGAAAGCCCAGGCTGGAAGGAGAGGCCGCCCCCTGACGCCCTGCCTGGGCTGGCCAGTGCCAAGGTGGGCTGCTAGCCCAGCTGCCAGCAGGAGGACAGCGAGAGCCAGGATGGCTATGAGCCCAGGTCGGTCCCCTAAGGCTCTGTGGCAAGGAGCGGCCTCTTTAGTCCTGGTCCATACACATGCCAACTGGGTGTGGGCATCAGCAAAGGCCACTTGCAAGCAGGCCCAGTACTCCGTGGCCTGATGGAGGCGAGTGATGTTGTAGCTGTGGGTGCCCCGTGGCAGGCGAGCCAGAGCAGTGGCCCCCTGGCCCCGGAGGGAGGAGGTGCTGGACCAGGTGAGGTTGGTGGAGACTGTGTTGGGTGGGGGAACCCAAGCTAGCAAGATGTGATAAGGGTGGGTCTCCTGCACTCGGAGCTCCAGCCTCCATCCCTTGCCCCTGCCTGGCTGCAGGGGAGCCCGGCCAACAACTACACTGACCGTCTTAGTGTCAGCCCCCACCAGGTTCTGGGCCACACAGGTGTACAGCCCTGCCTCCTCTGCGGTCACCCTCCGCAGCTCCAGGGTCCCCTCCGGGTATACCCGGTACTTCCGGCCTGCACGGGCAGCCGTCAGTCGAACCCCAGCTGGAGTGACCCAGTAGATCTCGGGTTCCGGTTCAGCCAGTGCCCGGCAGTGCAGCATCAGGCTCTCTCCACTGACCACCTGGAGGCTGGAGGGGAAGCTGCGGGGGGAGATGAGGGGCAGGCAGCGGTCCGTCATCTCCCGGAAGGGCACCTCACGGACCGGGAGGCGCTGGAGGTCTGGCGGCTCAGCACACAGGGTGGACTGCGGCTCGATGAAGCGGACATGGGTGCCGGTGGCATTGGCCCAGCGGATGACACAGTCACAGCGGATGGGGTTGCCATGGAGACCCACCTCCTGCAGGTTGGGCAGGGACTCCACTGTCTGCTGGTGCAAGGCACTGAGAGCGTTGTTGTTGAGCATGAGGGTCTCCATCTGGGGCAGGTGGTGGAAGGCGCGGGGGTGGATGAAGGACAGCCGGGGGTTGTTGGTGATATCCAGCTTGGTCAGCTCGGGCAGGTTGACCAGGGCAAACTTGTCAATGGAAACCAGCTCCTCCATGTTGTTCAGCCCAAGCTCCTTGAGGTGCAGCATGTTGGCAAAGTCCCCCGGCCCCACCCGCTGGAGCGGGTTCTTGTTCAGGTCGAGGAACTTGAGCCCCGGCACCTGTTCCAGTGCCCGCCTGGGCACCCGGGCCAGCTGGTTGTCGTAGAAGGAGAGGCTCTCCAGGCTCTGCAGCCCCTCCAGGGCGTAGTCGGAGATCTCCTGCAGGCTCATGCCTGCTAGCACCAGGCTGCGCAGGTTGGCCAGCGGCCGGAAGTTCATGTCCAGGATGGCGTCCACCTTGTTGCCGCCAATCATCAGGATCTCCAGGTTGGGCAGCATCTCGAACCAGCGGCTGTCCACAGCCCTCAGCAGGTTGGAGTTGAGGTGCAGCCGCAGCAGGTTGCTGAGGCCAGCGAAGGCCCTGGGGGCAATGCGGTACAGCTGGTTGTGGTTGAGATAGAGCTCCTGCAGGCTGGCCAGCCCTGCAAAGCTGTGGTCCTCCAGCCGGCTCAGCTGGTTCTCCTCCAGGTGCAGGCTCAGCAGCTGGGGCAGGGCACGGAGATCACAGTCCCGGGCATCAGAAAAGCTGTTCTGGGACAGGTCCAGCTCTGTGAGGTTGGCCAGGTAGGCGAGCTCACTCTGGTCCACGCGGACGATGCTGTTGCTCTGCAGGAGCAGGGTCTGCGTGCCCACAGGCAGCGCCGGGGGCACAGCCGTCAGGAACAGGTCATTGCAGTCCACGGTGGTGGCCTCACGGTACGATGAGCGGGGCGTATACCAGGGCCGGATCTGGCAGGCACACTGAGGGGGGCAGGGCACACGCCAGGGCACCACGGGCACAGCGGCGGTGGCACCGGCCACCCAAGCCAGCAAGAGGGGGGCCACGAAGAGCCTCATGGTGGAGCCACAGGGCGGGGGAACATCCACAAGAGGAGTCTGGAGTCCTGCTCTTAGCGGTTTGCAGGCTGAGGGTCAGCAGCCAGGCCAGCGCCTGGGGAGCCACCCTCCCAGGGCAGTCCTTCTATGCAGGGACGGCTGGGCATCACTTCTCGCCCTCCTGGGTGCAGCTCTCCCTCCTCCGTGGCTGGGCCTGCTCGTTCATGGCCACGCCCCGCCGGGCCGCCCTGGAAGCAGAGGGGGAAGGGTCAGAGAGGCGGCAGAGAGGCAGTCTATTCCCCCTCCCGTGTCTCCCTGTTTGACTCGGGAGGCCAAGGGAGCTGAGGGGGGTGGGCCAGGCTCCCGGGTTCTGTCCTAGTCCTTAGGCTTCCGTGTCCTTTTCCACGACCTGCTGGGGAGTGAGGGGCTGAGAGTCTGCAGGGCAGGAGCGAGAGGCTGGGCCTGGAAGCTTCCAGGGTAACTTGGGAAAGGCGTGTGTGTGTGGAGGAGAGGGGATGGCTGGGTTGCTTTCATCTCCAGAGTCCTTCTGCGCCCAGAGAGGTGCAGAGTAGATGTCACAGCTTCCTCACATCTCTCCTCCCCACTCCTTGGCTCACTCAGTAAACGGAAAATACAACAATACTTCCCAGACCTCCCCTGAGCGGGGTGAGGAGGGGGTGGTAGAAACAAGCGTAACTTCTAAACGCCAGGCTGGGCTCCCAGGGCTCTGGAAGCTGAGAGGCATTGGACCCAGACCCCCAACTCAGACAGGCTGGGGAAGTGGGGTGTCCTGCCCGAGGTCTGCGTGGGCTCTCGCGGGGTAGGGTCCAGCTTCCATGTTCGCCAACTTCCCTGCCTGGACGCAGGGGCTTTTCCTTTCCCAAAAGCCTGGCCCAGAGGCCTGGAAGGAGGTGGTGAGGTTAGGAAGCCCGGGTCTGAACTCCTCAGCCCTGCAGGTAAGACCTCATGTGACTTGGCCCTGGCTTCTGACTTCCTGACTTCTGGCTTCTCTTGCTGCCACCCACTTACACACTGTGCACAGCCCTTTTGGGTTGAAGTTATCCTGACACGTCCCACTTCTCATGTCTCCTTGTTGTCTCCCAGACAGCCCCTACTTGTTCTTCAAGACTCAACTTGTGGTCAGTCACCTCCTACAGAAAGCTTCTCCCAAACCTTCCTACCCCTGGCTGGCTAAGGGGCCCACCTTGTGCTCTTACAGTGCCCCATGCCTCCTGGGTCACTGCCCTGACCACATTAGCTGGAAATGTCTCCCCTGCTAGGGACCTGTCTTGCTCATCCTCATGCTTCTAGCACAGGGCAGGTGCCCAGTGAGTGTTTATTGTTTGAATCAATCTCTGGGGCTCTGGGGCCCCTATCCCGCAGGAGGTCAGGCCCCCACCCCTACCACAATGTAGGATCCATCCCGTGCATCGGTAACCACTCCGGGTTCTCAGACCCCACGGCCAGGTTGCATCGCCCTGGAGGCAAGTCCACTGTGGCCTAGAACCAAGATGGGGGAGAATGGGGGCACCCCTGGGCCTGGTCCGACTCCTTCCCGCAAGTCTGACTGGGGTAGTTTTCCAGCTGCAGGCGTCAGGGAGGCGCACAACCTTATTGAACACCTGTGATTTGCCGGGACTCTTCAAAGACTCTGAGTGTCTTATTTCATTTAACTCATAACGAGTCTACAACATAAGTGCTAACACCTCCAGTTTGCAAATGAAGAAACTGAGGTTCAGAAGAAGTTAAAGAATTTGGCTTAAGTCACATAGCTGGTAGGCAGCAGGAGATAGGGGTCCAGCCCCAGCCGAGCCCGCATCATTTAGAGCATGCTGCTCCACCCCCGGCCTGGCCCGCGCTCACCTGGGCACCTGGGGTGCACTGGCTGTTGCACCAGCAGGCTGGCTGCCTGTTCCTGGAGCTGCAGGAGGCTGTGTCTCCTACCACCTTCCAGGCAGGTGCCCTCAGCTGGCCACGGAGGCTCTTTGCCCCCCATCCCGCTTCCAGGATGCTGAGGCTGGGAAGGGGGGCAGCTGGAGGCGTGGTACCCTCCCTCAGCGGAAGAGCGGGTGCTTGCTTACATCTGACTACTTCCCACCTTCTGCTGCAGCTATTTCTGAAGGTGGGAAAAGCACCCGTGGCTTCAGATGCAGAGGTTTTGCGTAGGGGTGTGTGCACTGACACGTAAAACTCAGGGCAAACAAACACATGTGCGCACACGCATGTGCAAGGGGAGCCTGGAACCGGTCATCCAAGCCGGTGACGCGGTCAGGAAGGAGGAGACAGTTCGTGGGTGTGCTGTGTGGGTGGAGAGGCAGCAGGGACAGCTGGGTCCCTGGAAGGCCTGACAGGGAAGTGGATCTCAGGCCAGTGGGCCTGTCACTTAGGCACCAGAGGCCCTGCCTCCTGCCTAGACCTGGCACAACACAGCAGAACCTACCAGCAAAGAGATCTCACTGTCACCACTTCCAGCCAGAGTGCCCTGGAAGAGATATGGACTGGTCTGAGCGGCTGCTCCTTAGGCATCAAATGAGGTTGCCATAAGGATTAAGGAGCTGAGTGTGGTGCACACAGAAGAGCTCAATAATGCTAGTTTCCTTCCAGCTCCACTCACCCCCCCAGGGGTGGGGGGCTCTCCAGCTACAGGACTTCATAGGGGGAGCAGAAGTTGGATCCTAGGGCTCAGCAGGCCCTATGAAGCTGGCCCACTGTGGGCCACTGCAGCCCCCAGGCGGGGTGGAAGGTGTAAGCAGAAATAGAGAACACATCACACATTTAAAGAGTGCCACTCTGGCAGGACCAACAACACAAAGGGTCTCGAGAGCCCAAGACAGCTGTCCAGAGGAGAGAAGGCTGGAGTGGCTGGAGAGGGAACTTGAGCCAGGCCCCATGCATCTCCCTGGCCTTCAGACCCTACCTGAGCTGAGGCATCTCCCCTCCTCTAATGCTTTATTCTAACACCTTCGTGATGAAGAAACCATTTAAAACTTAATTAGACGGGGCCGGCCTGGTGGCATAGTGGTTAAGCTCACGTGCTCTGCTTCGGTGGCCCAGGGTTGATGGGTTCAGATCCTGGGTGTGGACTGAGCACTGCTCACCAAGCCACGCTGTGGCAGCATCCCACATAAAATAGAGGAAGATGGCACAGATGTTAGCTCAGCAACAATCTTCCTCTCACACACACACACCAACCCTTAATCAGAGACCTCCACAGACTGGCAGCACCCTCCTCCTTGGGCCCTGGGGTGGGCGGGTGGCTGGGGGAGGCAGTTGTCTGGAGCCCATCGAAAGAGAGGGGCAGCAGACTGATGACTCACGTTTGCTCGCACCTCTGACCCCAAGGCTTGGCAGGGGCCCAGACCAATCCTCCGCCTCCATGAGGCCCCTCCAGGATGGGACTGACCACTGCCCACCCGCGGCCGCCCCCTTTGAAGGCTGTTGGGCACGAGGCTGACTCGTGCAGGCTGGTTAGCAGTCTGCCAGGAGCTGCGGGGAAAGCGAATTGTTTTCTCTCCATAATCTTCCGGCGTGAGTGCGAGTTCAGACTAGCACGTCTACATTTCCCTCAACTGGATGAGAAGCTCCTTGTGGCAGGGGTGGTGTCTTACGTGCTTTTTGTGCCCCACAGCACCAAGTGTAGGCCTGAGCATGCAGAGGGTACCCAAGGGATACAAATAGTGAAACGTGTAGTCCCCTATCAGCTCTGTGTGTAGACAGAGAAGGGATTATTCACTTTCATTTTGCAGGGGAAGCAACTGAGGCTCTGAGAGGTTAAGTGACTGAGAGGTGGCAGGTCTGGATTAGAACACAGGTCTTTGGCTCTCTGGAGTCACGCCCGGCAGATGGATGCCTGCCTCCCAGGAGCAGTGTGCACGGGGGGCTCGGAGTGACTGCCTCGGGTGCGGACCCCTCCAGGTGACCTGGGCCCTCAGCACCTCCTCCCTGTGGCTACTTGATGGGCCCCTCAGCAGCATTCCTTGATTTCCGGCCAGCGTGACTCCCTGGGGGACAGCACGGGGAAGGCCCTGTTCCTATGTGAGCGTGGCTGGGCCTGGAACCAGAGGGACCAACAGCCAGCAGGCTGCCCACAGACCTCAGCCTGCCTCCTGACTGGGAGCTGAGGGCTGCTCCTGGTGCAGGGACTGCTGGCCAGCCATGGCCTTCAGTGACAGGAGACTGAAAGCCCTGGGGCCACATCAAGGCAACAGGGTTGCCCACGGATGCAGTCTCTCCGTCGCCTCCTCCCCACTCCTCCGCCCTCCCTGGTGCCTTCCGCCCAGCCCCTGGGAGCCGAGCGTCCAGGGGGAGGGGCTGGTGGGGGACAGGTGATAGATTGCCTGGTCTTCGCTGCTTCAGTGCCAGGGCCCCCCTGAGCTGCGGAGACAGAAGGGCAGCATAACTGAGCGTATCGTTGATAAACTCCGGCCTCCTCACCAGCAGATAAGTGCTGGGTGGGAGGGATGCAGAGGGAGGGGGGGCCAGCACCCCATCTGTGCACCTGGCCTCCAGTGCCTCCTGGGATGTGAGTATGGCTCCTCACTCCCACCTCTCATTTAGTCACAGACAACCAGGACCTCAGAGCTGGAGGAGACCTCAGCGTTGATCTGGAGTCTGAATTCCATAAGTAACTGGTGCAAGGGAGGAGTGGTGGAGGGGAGGAAGCTTGGGCTTTGCGTCAGAGTCTGGGCCGGGCTCTGCCTCTGCTGTGTGACCTTGGCAGAGTGGTCACCTGCACCTCCAACGCCTGAGCTGGCAAATGGGGACAACACGCTGCTCGCAGAATTGCTGGGAGGAGCACGGGGTGTGAGTGCACGAAGCACCTCTCATTCCATCTTACACATACTTCTCTCTCACCTTTTGTAATAAACTTTTTTCATATTATCGAGGTATGACATATGTAGAGGAGAGTGCATAAATGGCCCCAACCCCAAGTGTACAGCTCAACCAATTTCTACATTTGTAGATACTGGTACAGCCCCACCCAGAATAAGATGTGGATGCTTCCAGCAGTGGGGAAGCTTCCTTCCCAGGCAATATCCAGCCGCCACCCGGAGTGAGCCACTGTCCTGATTTCTACCACCATCAACCAGCTTCATCCTTTAAACCCAGACGTCCCCTCCTTCTCCATCACAGTTTGGGAGCAGGGTCTTGTGAAATAGCCCACTTTGGCACCAGGGAACTCCAGAACTTCAGATTTGCAATTCGCTTAATTCATCCTCATGCTTCAAACTGGGCTGTAGCTTCATCA